TCGAGCCTGTCCGCGGCTGCGCCGAGGCCGCCTTCCTGGTTGCCGAGCAGGAAGGGGGCGTCCACCCGGTCGCCGCGCGCCATCAGGTGCGCCCCCAGGACTGGGAGCGTCGCCGCGCAGCGAGGGCGCAGCTCGTCTGGCAGCCCTGCCGCGCCAGCCGGGACCCACACCAAGGTCTTGGTTGGGTTGAGCTCCAGGCCGTAGGGGGCCAGCGCCTGTTCCACGAGGACGAGCGTCCGCGCGGCCAGCGCCTCTGGGACCACGATGTACGAGTCGCCCAGGTAGGAATACATCCGCGTCTCCGCGTCGAAGGCGCTTAGGTGCTCGAGGAAGGGTTGCAGGGCGTTGCGCTGACCCACTGCGTAGGCGGCAGGTGCCAGCGGGTCGCCTTGGTCGAAGCCCCTGGTGCTCTCCACCGGCTCGAAGTTGCCGGCCGCGTCTCTCCAGAGGTGGGTCGCCGACCCCCTGTGCCACGTGTCGAGGACGCGGGCGACCTCTGGCACGTGTTCCGCCATTGCTTCTATGGCCGGCCCCCGCTCGAGCCTCTGGAAAGCGGCCTTGACGTCCACTTTTATGAACGCGTCGTTCGGCCTCTGCGCCGCGCGGGCCTGCAGTTGCTTCAAGACGAGGTCCGCCCCGCTGGGACGCCCCACCCCGCATTGATGAGGCCCGGCCGCCTCTTGGAGCCTGGCCTTCCTCACCCTTGCCAGGGCCCTCATCCCCAGCCGTCGAAGGGTGGCGCCCACCAAGAGTGGCCTGACTTCACCGGCGCCCGTGTCCACGGCCACGAGTTCGCCGACCCAGAGGGCTTGCAGCACCGCCTCTGGCACGTCGCCAAAGGTCAACTTGCCCACGGCCCACGCCATCGACTCAAGGACCGCCGGGTCGTCCGTGCACGAGGCGAGGTGCTCCAGGCGAGTGCCGAGGAGGCAAGCGCGGAGGTCGCCGCAGGAGCTTGGCGACGTCGTCGCAGACCTGCTGGAATAGGTCCCCGTCGGGGGCGACCCTGGCGCGAGGCCTGGCTTCCGAGGCAGCCGCGTTAGGAGCACCACGCGGGAAGGAGTCTCTCAGTTTAGCCAGGGTGCGCGCCGATCGAGGGGCGAGCGGCACGCCACGCACCGCGCCGAGCGCGCGGCCTTCCTCCCCCGCGGCTGCCAGGGTGTGGACTCTGAGCGCCCTCCGTTCGTCGGCGTCTTGGCCAGCTGCCCGGGGCGGCGGGGTGGAGCTGCCAGCTGCGCCCCCCCAGAGGGCGCCCCACTGCCCACCCCAAAACCAAGCGAGGCGCTCTTCGAGGGCCTCTGCGCACGTTGCGCCTCCTGCCGGGCGCGCGAGCAGCATGGCGTCGAAGAGGAGGAGTGCCTTCCACTCCTGTTCAGTGTCGCCGCGCGCCTCCGCCTCCTCCAAGGCTCCGAGAGCCGCGGCGCGAGCCATGACGAACGCCCCGCGGAAACGGTCAGGGACCTGGACGAACGTCGGCGTCCCCACCTTTACGACGGCGTCCCACGAGAGGTTCTCCCACCACCTGCGGTTCGGAAGTTCCTTGCGGCCCCATGCCGGGTGCAGCGGGGGAGGGCTGTCAGCGCTCGCTGCTGGCTGAGGCTGGCGGTCGCCTCCTGCTGCCGCCTGCCGTGCGAAAGCGGCCTGCACGGCTTGAACGTGGTCGTCGTTGGCTGCTCCCCTCGGCCTCAGGGTCAGCGTGTCCCCTGGCAGTGCGTGAGGAGAAGAACACGTGACACACCGCCAACGACCACGATCCCTACTTCCCCACGTCGCGATCTTAACCTCGTTGGCCTCGAACGGGATGCCACATCCGACGCAGGACGCGGGGCGCGGGGTGGGCTTCTGAATGTCGACCGCCCACTGTTGTGTCCTGCGTCGTCTGTTAGGCCTCGTTTCCTGGTCGACGTCTCCCCTCCCCCTCGTGGCGCCCGCCACGCCAGCACTCCCAGCCGCGTCCTGCGCCACCATATCCTCGTCCTCGCCGGCGTCGTCTATATCCTCCTCCATTGCTTGGGGCCCTGCGGCAGCCAGCCCCCCTCGTGCCGCCGGCCGCTCTCCCCAGAGCGGTGTGCCTGGTGCTGGCGGGCCTTCCCCTGGGTACCCCAACGTGGCGTCGAAGTCCAAGCTGGACCACGCGGCTGCCCAAGTGGCTGGCGCGGCATGGGCGGCCAAGGCTGCCGGGGCACCGATCGCTCCAGCTGCAAGTCCCGCGATGGCGCCGGCTGCAGCCGCCGCTCCGATGCAGGCGCCGAGGCGGATGGCACCAGGGCCGTATATGCGGCTGAATCGCGGGATGCTTCCCAAGGCATCGTGGACGCCAGCGTATCCCCAGCGGGCCACGGCCAGCACATCGAACAGGAAATCCGCGACGACCGCCGTCACGACAGCGAGCAACCACAACCCGTAGCCCGTGCCGCGCTTGAGGATTAGCATGACGGTGGAGGTGAAGGCTGGGCGGCTGTCCTGGTGCATCCCGTCCTCCGTGTCCTCGCAACGCGTCGCGAGGAAAAGGAGGACGATTGCGAAGAAGGCCCCGCTGTCTCGGCGGGCGCGCCAGAAGAGGCGTAGGGCCTGTGTTGGTGCCTCCAAAGTGCTGCACCTCGCCGCGGCCGACGCGTGTCCTCGGCCCCCGTCCTTGGAAGAGACCTGAAGTAACGGCTGCCCCTCCCTGCCGTCGCACGCGGCCATAGAGCGGGACAAAAAGGCAAACTCAGGCTCGGTAATCTTCAACACGGATATGCGTTCGAGTCTGCTCTCAGGGGTGTCTCCCACAGGCTGGCATCGGATGACAAGCAAGCAAACGCAGAGAAACAAGACATCACATTGACTGAAACATGACCTCATACGAAAATTGTTGGTACAGGTGGGCAGGAGGTTCGGTATGCGGCTGGCGACGTCGACGGGGCGACACTCGACAGTCACGGGGAGCCTCCTCCTCCTCCTCCTCCTCCTCCTCCTCCTCCTCCCACTCCTAGCCCTTTCGATCAGGGTCGGCGGCACCGGCCGTCAGGCTTCTCCAATAGAGCAAACCCGTGCCACAACCTCACGGCGCGGGCCCGGGCTCCTGCCGGCCACCGCGCAATTCGTTCGAGCTTCATCGATCTCCGCAGCCGGGGGTTCCCAAAAAATGCCGACCGACGCCCGTCCAATGCGCTTCCGTCTCCTGCACCCCCCGCTCAAGAACACCGTCAAAAAAGACAACGATCAGTGGGTGCTGGGGGGGTGCTGCGTATACATCTCTCTTTATATTTAAAGTTGCATATGCATATACGATGTAAACGAATACCGCCTACTCCCCCCGGGGCTCCGTCAAGCTCGCTAGCATCGGCGTGCTGCCGCCCAGCCAAGACGGCGCAAGCTCAGCGAACTTGGTCCGAGTTCAGCACGGAACCCCGAGGCATCTGACGCCGTTGTGAATGAGCGCGGCGCCGTGAGGGAAGGGCGGCCCGAGCGCCAGACCTGGCCCGAGCGGCGGGAGGGATGGGGTCTTACGCACGCGAGGGGGCACGGCGACCTCGCGCGCTGGCTTACGCATGGTCGCAGCGCGGCACGACGGAGAAGGGGGGCACTCACGCGCGACCTTCCACGGGCAGCTGGCGCGCGAATGTCCGCGCAGGCTATCCTATGCTGTGAAATCGCTCAACCTGGAATCGTGTACAACCATCGTGCTACCGCGAAGAACATCGAACCAATAACGAAAGGGCTTCTCTAGCCACGGCGCGCTCCGGCCACAAACATCGAACTGAAAACCAGAGCCCTCTTGCACCCCAAATTCCCCTTCATTAAGAATCTTGACTGTACGTTCGTTTGCGTCGCGACGTCCGGCGAAGCCAGGGCCTTGGCCAGGGCACCAAACTCGCAACACCGCCCCGAAAAAGGTGACCCTCATACCCCTGGGTACGTCGCGCCGCACTTCTCCGACCAGCAAGCGGAAAGACGACGACGACGACTCTCCGATTGGGTGCTCGTTAACGAGGGGGCGATCAACGTGGGGCGAAGAAAAGGTGCACCTTTTGTGCATCCTGTTGGGCCCGCAGTGGCAGTCTAGGGGTCGCTCAGGGCCCCTTTAGCGCCACTGTCCTGCATTCCTCGATACCCCCGCGTTTACCGCCCCCGCCCCTTGCCGCCCGCCCGACCCTTCCGTTCGGAGGGGACCGCCTCAAGGGGAAACATCGAACTGCAATCGGCGATACATCGCCGATAGATCGGGGGTAGGCCTCTGACAGCGAAACCGCAAGTTCCCGGGCGGGGCTGGTAATCGTAATTGTTTCTCTTTAGCATCAGGCCATGCTCAACGAGCTGCCTCGCCAGCCTGCCCAGAGACCTAGGACCACTGCCCTGAGACCTAGGATTAACACGTCTTGTGCTGGGCGGTTGGGCGACTGGGGATTGATGCGCTCCCCCCTGAACATATCCTTAGGTCGGGCATGTCCTCCTACAGGCGAGTTTTGGACATTAGAAACACAAGAAAACAAACAACATGCCCAAAGTCAAACATATAAGCAAGATCGTCCCCTGACTACTTTTGACCATTCTCGAGAATTTCTCCTGTAGAGAGACATGCCCGACTTACGCCTATCCCCCCTTACGTTGCCCCTGGTCTTTCGCCCTTGCCATCTCACCCCCCCCCCCCACGTGCCAGACTCCGCTCGCCATCGTCAGCATGACCCTTGACCGCTTGCTCGCTCTCCTCCTCCCCTACCCCACCCAGAATTCATCATCATCGAATCGGACAACTGGATCGAATCGAAATGCGCGCGGAATCGGGCCGCATCGGCACGGAGCCGCAATCGGATCGAATTCGGCCGCGCCAAGATGCACAACGGCGCCATGCAAGGATCGGGCCGCATCGGATCGTCGGCATATAGAAATCGAGTGGGTTCGAGCCGGCTAAGATCGATATCGCATCGGATTGGCCGGATCGAATTGGACCCTGCCACCCTGGGCGCACGCACTCGGGGGAGGGGCAGGTGGCTGTGAATGCCCACCCCAATTCTGGCCTGTGGCGGCCGCTGTAGCCGTAGCCCACGCGCGAGCCCACCTCGGACCACGACGACGACAACGACCACGACCACGAGGACGATGCCTGCAACGACGAGGATGACCACGACAGCGACCACGCCGAGAACGGAGACACGACCACGGGGCTTCAGGCTGCCCGCACAACAAAACGTCCCCGCCAGGCGAGCCTTCGGCAAACTCACTGTAGTCAAATCACGTAGCAAGGTTGCAAAATGTGTAGTTGAAACATGGCCACGAGAGCGTGGATCAAGAACATGCCACCCTTCGGCGAGGGACCAAAGCCCCATGGATATTCCAAAAACGAAGAACGTCCCAAGGTGGAAAGCCCAAACATGGAGAACATAAGGGTGCCCCTGGAAAATCAAGGTTGTTCTCAACCCTCGTGCCAACTGCAAATGTGCAAGACCCAACTGATAAACGTCTTGAAGATATTCTTGACTTGAACGTTTCGACATGGTGTCGGTCTCTCGGCAATGGTGTCTGGGCCTGTGAAAGGTTGGAGTCAAGACCCGTTTTCCCCTGTTTCACGGGACTGACATGCTTACCTGTAGCGCTAGCGTTTGGTCCCAAGCAAAGGAGCGCCTGTCCCCCAGAGCAGTTACAGCGGGAGACTGGCAGCGATAGAGAGGTATCGGTCGATTCGATCGAGTTCTCCGAGCTGTGACCCCCACGACGCGCTGAGGCTGATCGCGGGAGAGAGCACGAGCGAGAACGAGGTTGGTAGCGGAGCTCCGTGGTTGGCCCCACGGACTCCAGGACAGATTGCAAGGACTAGCCATCCCCACGAGCCATGGCAACTGGAGACAACTACAACAGTCCCGGTGCTGAAGGGCTAGACCCTGAAGGACTTCACCAGGTACAGGAGGGCTGTGCAGGCGGCGGAGCTAGGATGCGAGTCGAATGAACAACGCGCCGCCCTGGGCCCGAAGTTGGATCAGAACCTCCTCGGCGCGGGCAACTCGATCAGCGTGCTGATCGAGCAGGCGGGCCCGAGAGACTGCGCCGCGGAGGATGGAGCGAATGCTCTGCTCAAATTCCTGGCGACCGAGCGTTTTGCGAAGAGCAGTTTCCGTGAGTTGCCGAAGGCGTTCGACACGTTCGTCGACCTCACGCACTTCGAGAGGAAAGGTGAGGAGCCTATGGCGGTCTTCTGCGCAGCCATGGAGGTGGCGCGGCGGAACCTAGCGAAGGTGGGCCCGGACACGAAGATCAGTTCTGATGAGCTCGGGCACCGCGCGTTGAAGCGCAGAGGTCTAGACAAGGACGAACGCAACCTGGTGATCGCGAGGGCGGACGAGACGTTCAATTTCGCGACGATCTCGACAACGCTGAAGAATGGATTCCCTCGCGGCGGAAGTAGGCGCCGTGGACAAGGAAAAAGGACGGGCTGGAAGTGGAAAATGCTCGCGAACGACACCGAGACTGGACAAGCTGATGGAGAGGACCAGCACAACGGTGAATACTGGGTCCAGGGCGACGACTGTTACTGGTACGAATGGGACGATGATCGCGGAGTCTACACATGCACGGAAGAGGACGAGGGAGGCGACTGGGACAGCAGTCGCCTGTCTGCCACGAGGACGGAGCTGACACGTTCCTGGCGGGAGAAGACGATGATTACCAACAGACCCTGGTCACGATGCGAGAGAGCCGCCTCAAGATGAACAAGTTGCAGGCGGCAAAGGGATTCTTCAAAGGAGGGATCGGCGGCGCTGTGGACGAGAATGCGGCAGCCGGCGGTCACGCGGCAGGCAAGACCCCAGGAAAAGGCACAGGAAAAGGCAAGGATGGCGGCAAGTCGAAGGACAAGCGCTGCAGAACGTGCGGTCGGATGGACCACAACGCATCGGAGTGCCCTGCCAACGAACAATCGGGGAAGCCAGCTAAGGGCAAGGGCCGCGGCAAAGGATCGGAGTCAGCCCCTCGTCCACGACGGCTTGGATTCTGGGCAGTGAGCGCTCTGGTGTGTGTAGCACCGCCATGGGTGGGCGTTAGACACCAGGTGCGAGACCCGAACGCGAACTACATCCATATGCAGCCCGAGAAAGATTACGATATCATGATGGCGAGCCTGGACAGCGATCCGATCGTGCCGGACAGGCCCGAGCTCGAGGTGATGATCTCCAGCGACGTCGTGCCAGCGCCCCTAGTGGACAGCGGGGCCTCGATTGCAGTCGCAGGACGCGGACGGCTTGATCGCGTCGAGGCAGAGCTCACCAAATACGGTCTCATGCCCGTCAAGGTGGAGGCACACCAGAAGTTCAAGGGACTCGGTGGAGCACGACGTGAGTCATAGCAGAAGTGGTTCATCCCGGTGAGCATCGGGAAGAAGCATGTGATGCAGGAGTATTTCGAGATCCCCGGCGACATGGTCGGCCTGACGAGCAGGAAGGACCTTGCCGAGTGGAGGGCGAACCTCTACATGCGCGAGGACGGCCACTGGGCGGACTTCCAGGAGCTCGGGGTGCGCGGCAAGGACCTGGTGAAACTGCCTGGTGGGCATGCTGGGCTCGACCTCTTCGACTACGACCTCGAGTCGCACAAGTCGGAGCCACTCTTCGAGTGGTCCGCGTGGACGAGATGCAGCTCGAGCCGGACGCGTTCCTGGTCGCGGAGACGCTGCAGGAGTACGAGCTGGGCTTCCAAGTGAAGGAGCACGCCGACTCGTGGGTCGCGGAGACTCTGAAGAACGGAAGCAAGGACATATTCAAGAAGGGCACGCTCAAACGGATCGACAAGTTGATGAAGGAATATTCGGTCATCTTCGACGCACTGTGGGACAACCTGTGGGAGCTGTTTGCGAAGGAGGCTCGCTTTGCTCGTGCAGCCTCGAAGGGTGGTCATGCGAACGCGACCCCCCCGGATTTGTCGGTCGGGGTTAACTTCAGCGACCCCCAGACCCAGTCGGATTTTCTGTTCCTGACAAACACCTTCGACCCCTGGATGGTCTCGGTCGCGTTCCCATGCGCACCTTTCTCGAACATGCAAGAGTTTCAGCGAGCTCAGGGCATGGGCGACCGGGTGGACGACCTCATCGAGGAGTTCAGGCCACTGGTTCACTTCTCGGCTAAGGTGCTTCGGACTCAAGCTGAAGGGACGCATCGGCATCGGCGCGAAACCTCTCACGAGCCGTGCCTGGAACGAGGAGCCGATCATGGATCTGTTGCTTTGGAACGGTGAGCGACCCCCATTGTACGAGATGGTTACGCTACACCAGTGCATGTTCGGACTGACGGATGACTACGGGACGCCGATTCGGAAGGCCACGCGCATGCTGGTACCCAACGGTTCATGCTTTCCGTGGTGGCTCGATCGCAAGTGTGAGCAGCGCCACGAGCATGCCGACACGGTCGGACGAGGCACGCTGATCTCGCGGGCTAGTGCCTGGCCGGACGACGTGGGCAGGACCCTGGTAAGCGCTGACGCTCATGAGGTATCGCGGCGCACCGACCTGAAAAAGCTGAGTACCGGAGACGATGCGACGAAGGATCCGGATCAGAGGACCATGCGCACGGTGGCCAAGGATTTAAAGCTGAAGAAAGACCTTCTTGACGTACGCGTGCTGAGGCAGAACGAGGCTATCCCTGTGCCTCGCGGAGCTGTGCGGCGCACCTACGCCGTGTACACCGACGAGGGCGTGCTGGCCGACTTCTCCGATGCCTACGCGGACGACCCGAACTTACGAGGGTCGAGCTGGCCACAAGGTACCCAGCCGACACGGTGGTCGCGATCTATGAAGGAGCCGAAGGTGCAGACATCCTTCCCCGCGGCGATACCACTACTTGGCAGCCGACCAGAAGCATTCAAGCCTGACGATCGTGAAGCAGACGCAGTACATCGAGACCTACATCGCGAAGGTGGAGAGCTTCGGCGACAAACCTTCAGACATCACCACGGCTCAGTGGGGCGCCCTGAGGAAGCTCCACCTGAACCTGAGCCACCCGTCGGCACACGCGCTGAAGCGACGCCTTGAGTCCTACGGGTTGTCGCAGAAGGTACTCGACGCGGTGGACAAGTTTGACTGCGTCGTGTGCAAGGAGCTCGGGTGGCCCAACACTACGAGGTCGGCCAACCTGAAGCTCTCGACAGAGTTAAACGAGAATGTGTTTATGGACGAAGCCGAGGTGATTCTCTCAGACGAGACACGGTTGATGGTGATGACCTGCATGACGCGTCGAGCTTCAGGGTCATCATACCTACTACGGCAGTGCGATCCATCACGGGTGAGGAGAGCCTTCGCTGCTTCTCGCAAGTGTGGCTAGCATGGGCTGGCCTTCCGAAGGTATTCTACTACGACGCAACGAAGGGCCACCCCACGCAACGTTTCGCGGAGATAGGCGAGAGGCACAACATCCTGACGAGGCCGGTCCTGGCAAGAGGCGCCTCAGCTCAAAGGCAGAGTGGAACGGGCTGTCGACTTCTTCAAAGACCGTTTCCAGCGCCTGAACCACGATGCACAGCTCACCAAGAGCGACGACCCAGCCGTGTGGACTTCGGTGATAGCGAGCACATGCAATAACCGCATTCGACGGAATGGTTTCACGCCCTACCAGTATGTCCTGGGACGATCGCCTAATGTCTGGGCCTCGCTGATCGAGGCGATGGAGGGCGATCAGAAGCAGCTGGCGGCGCAGAGCGCAGCACTTTTCGAGGGCGGTTCGAGCAGATTCGCGCTGCGACGAACCAGGCGTTCTTCGAGCTGGACTGCGACGACGCAGTGAGAAGGGCCGCGGTTGGTCGGGTTCGCCCGCCGCGCGGGCCGTTCGTGCCGGGCGAGCTGGCGTTTTACTGGCGTGAGGTGAAGCACGTGAAGTCGAAGCGGCTCCAGGGCGACCGAGGGTGGCGCGGCCCGGCCATTGTGCTGGCGGCCGAGGGCCACGCAAGGCTGCACCTCAGCTACCGTGGGGTGCCGGTGCTCGTGACGTCTGAGCAGGTGCGGCATGCCTCTCGCGGTGAAGCCGAGATGGTTGAGAACGAGGGCCTCGTCAGGCAACTGTCGCAGTGGCGCGGAGGACCTACCCTCCAGAAGGGCTTCGTGGACGAGCGTGGGCCTGGGCCTGACGGGGGCGGTGTCCAGCGCGACAGGCGTCGCAAGAAAGACGACGGCGACTCGGACAAAGAGGGCGCCGTGGGCGACGCGCCGGCTACCAAGACGCCACGGGCAGAGGAACCTCCACCGCCTCCCCCGAGGAGGTCTGAGGCTACTCCCAAGCGAGAGAAGCAAATCAAGGAGGAGGACGCACCTGGACCTGGAGTGCTACCCGAAGTACCACCACTACCTGGAGATGGAAACGACATGCAGGACGTTAGAAATGAAAATACACCCGGAGATGGAGACGACGTGCAAGATGTTACGGCTAACGACCCACCTGTACCTGATGCAACTGGGCAGGGGCGCGCCGCGGACCTGGGCGCGGCTGCTGTGCCAAGCGATCCGCAGCAACAACCTGAGCAAGAAGGACAGCCAGAACCTGCACCACAGTCTGGTTCGAGGGTCTCTGTATAAGCGATCACTACCTGACGACTCCGAAGCAAATCGCGAACGCTTCTGCGCGCGTCGCGAAGCTCTCAAGCAGAGTCGCCTCCCGATGATCGAGGACGACGAGATCGACGACAAAGTGCTCTTCCTCGAGGTGAAGAATCGCTCGAGGGACGCATTCGTGGCCAGGAGGACTGACGCCGCGAAGGATCAGGTCAACCCGAAGAAAGGTCGGGAACTACGCAGCATCTCGCCAGAATGGAAGACGGCATTCGAGGCGAGTGACCTGGAAGAGTGGCGTAAGTGGATGCAGTATGACGCTTTGGAGCGGCCGAGCGAAGAGGAGATCTCGGGCGCCGAGAAGGCGGATATCCTGCCCATGAGGCGCGCCCGCGCCGACAAGAATGAGCCCGCGAGAAGAAGTCTCTCGTGCGAGTAACGCCCGCTAAAGGCGATGTCACGGACCATCGCCCCGGGCGATAAGGACATGCAGTTGCTCGCGGGCGAGCTGCAGACGAACGCGCCGGCGCTCACGGACACGGCCGCGGCGGTGATCATCCAGGAAGCTGCCAGCCAGCCTGGCTGGAGCCTCGAGCAGGGCGACGCAGTCTCGGCATTTCTGAATGGAAGATATCTCGACAACTCCAGACTCGTGTACTTCCGTGTTCCCAAGGGCGGCGTGCCTGCGGTGCCGGAGCTGGGATGGCCGTTCGTCCCAGAAGGGACTGTCCTGCAGGCGAAGAAGGGCGTCTACGGGTTGAATGAAGCACCCCTGTTGCTGCACGAGGAGCATCGCGATGCCATCCTGTCGCTTCCTGGGGCTTCGAGATCCAAGCTGCGCCCGGCCCTCTTCATCTTCCACGACGAGAGGGGGAAGCTAATCGGCCTGATCGGGACGCACGTCGACGATGACCTCGTGGCGGGATAGCCCGAGTTCTTCGCGAACCAGGTGGCCAAGCTGAGGAAAGTGCACTGCTGCGGCAAGTGGCAGACGGCGAAGACCGGTTTCCACGGCTGCGGGCGCTTCCTCAAGCAGAACGACGACGGCGCGATCACATGCAGCAGAGGAGCACACGAAAAGCATCGAGAATATACCGATCTCGGCCGAGCGTCGCAAGACTAAGGAGGCAAAGGCCACGACGGAGGAAAGGGCTATGCTCCACACTGGCAACGGCCAGGTCCAGTGGCTGGTCCGTTCTACGAAGATGGATTTGGCGTTATGGCTGGTGGAAAGCCAAGCTCGGGCTCGCGACAGTAACTTGAAGGTGCAAGACCTGCTAGACTACAACAAGGTCGTGAGCAACGCCAAGACCGACCACCTGGACATAACCTTCCAGAAGCTGGACATAGGCACCGTGATTGTGGTCGCAGTGGGGGACTTGAGCCACGGGAACGTGGGCAAGACGAAGACCGCTAGCCAGGCGGGCCTGTCATCTTGCTCGCGGACAACACTGACGATCAGTTCCTATGCGGGCAGCCTGCTAAGGTTACCCCGATGTTGTGGCGATCGCATCGCATCATGCGAGTAGTACGTAGTACCTTGGCAGCCGAGACGACGGCAGCGCTGGAGGCAGTCGAGAGTGGCGACATGCTGAGACAACACCTGGTGGAACTGCACGGGCTGGGATACCGGACCCACATGGACGACGTAAAGGCGATCAAGATGGTGGAGCTCACGGACTGTAAGTCGCTCTACGACCTGCTGCAGAAGCGAGGGACGGTCCCGTCCGAGAAGCGGCTGCTCATCGACATCGAATCGCTTAGGAACGGCATAGAGTTCAACAACGTGGTGAGCAAGTGGGTGAACACCAAGCAGATGCTCGCCGACTGTATTACCAAGCAAGACGTCCGCGCGGGCGATTCCATGAGGTATGTGCTCCGGACGGGCGAGTACCGGTTGACGGGGGACCCCACGGCAGAGCAGGTGATACCCGGGCAACGGACGGAGCTGAAGGGTCGCAAGGGCGAGTACTATCGCTCGAAGTATCCTCGTCGGCATCGGCCGGCCGACCAGCCCTTCGCGCGGGAGGGCTATGCATACTTCGAGGACTGCATCGCGGATTTGAGGTACAATGCGCCTGCAGCTCGACCATACAGCGGATCTGGACGACGTGAAGGAGATCTATCTGATGGACGCCGCGGGTGCCGAGGCCGAGGAGATCGGAGGAGGCGCCACTGGAACTGGTGCTACGCTGGTGGTGTGCGCGGTGTTTCGGATGGTGGTTGACCAGTGCGAGTGTCAGCATCCCCGTTCCGAAAAATGGTGATTGATGGGTTGAGATTCCAGGCCAGACCGAGCAGTCCGGAGGATCGACCACCAGGAAGAAGACGACGGAGCTACCGATGGACAAGGCTCGCAGACTGCATGAGCGGTTGAGGCACGCATCCTACAAGCAGGTGGAGCACGACCTGGACGACGTACTCGAGGAAGAGATCCTCGTGGCATACCAGCAGGTGGTCGCCGGATGCAACAAGTGCCGCAGGGCCAGTCACGACACAGAAGATATCCCGAAAGGCAAAGGCAGCGAAAAAGGATAGGAACGTCATGCCGAGTTGACCCAGATGAGTGTGTGCATCTAGCAAATCAGCTCTCGACTGGGGGTACCAACCAGTACAAGGAGAAGGAACGCTGCCGCCTGTGCGACACGCTGCTCGTGGACAGAGACACGAAGTGGTGGTTCGAGGAGAAGGAGCTACGTGCGGAGGTTAAGGCGATTCGCCACGAGAGGCAGAAGCAGGAACTCCTGTGCCGTACGAGAGCACCGACAGCCGGACGGTCCTCGATGGGATGAGATTGTATGATGCAGTCGCTCGTGAGTGAGCGGCACCTCCATATTTATACATTTTTTGTTGTTGAACTGAGCCAGCGTCGGCTCGCAGGCACGCTTAGTCAGAGAAAATGATTTGAGTGTGAATTGTGGGGGTCAAGACCCGCTTTCCCCTGTTTCACTGGACTAACATGCTTACCTGTAGGGCTGGCGTTTGGGCCCAAAGCAAAGGAGCGCCTGTCCCCCAGAGCAGTTGCAGCGGGAGACTGGCAGCGATAGCGAAGTATCGGTCGATTCGATCGAGTTCTCCCAGCTGTGACCCCCACGACGCGCTGAGGCTGATCGCGGGAGAGAGCACGAGCGAGAACGAGGGGACCCTACCGTCTGAATACTAGCCGGGACGAGAACCCAGTCGCAGTGAAGGGGTCGAGAGGTCTGCGGGCCACGTGCTGAAGTCTATCGCGGCGTCGGTACTGGGCCAACGACCATCTGTGGCTGGGCCAGGGCGGAAGAGGGAGGGAATAGAGTAACCAAATGCGGCGCGAACGCAAATTTCGACAGTACTTAGAGACCTCCTAGATGGGGACCGAGTAGATGGGGTCGGAGAATCTCGCCGCATCGCCGATACCTCGGCGATGCACTGGCGACGTCGGCGGTGCATCGGCGACGTCGGCGTGGAGAAAATTGGGTCCTACATCGAGCGGAATCGCTGATGCCCTATACTCCGATCCCATCGAGGAGGCCTAGAATATTCCGCCCAGACTTCTTGGGTCGGCGCTGGACTATGCCGCCCGTGGGGAGGGGGGGGAGGGGGTGGTCCAGTGCCGACCCCAGAGATCTGCGCAAACCTCTGAATGTCTGTTGGCGGCGTGCACAAGGGGGCTCGCCAGAGGCAGACGGCAGGGTCACTCCGGCGTGAGGCGCTCTGCAAAGCAAACGAGAGACCCACGAACCCTGAAGGAAAGAAGCCTGACTCGATTATGCTATTTGGCGGGGCGAACAGGGGGAGGGAGAGGGGACGGCTTCTTCTTAGAAAGCGAAGGCCCTACATCTAGGGAGAAGGCCCGTGCCTTCTAAGAAGCAGGGTGCTTCTTGGAAAACTTCCCCCCTCCCACCACCCCACTCTGCGCGTGGCTGATGGTGTGCTGTGTAAGTCAGGTGTTAGATGCCTTTGCCTGGCGTTGAAGGAGGCCGATCGGAATCACCTGGTCTCCGCGGGTGGCCATGATGCAGGGTGTGAGCGCTTTCACCTTGGCGTTTCGACATTGGGCGAAAGGGGGGGAGGGGTCTGGCTCCGGACCTCCGCGTCCTATGTGGGAGACTCCACCCTCTCGAAACAGGCGCGAGAAACAGCCAAGATCCACTCCATGGAGGGGAGGGGGGGGGGGGGCGGAGGGGGGTGCGAGGGCCCGCGCCGATCGGCAAAACACCGAATAAGAAAACGAGCACGACACCCCGGCGAGGCACTACCTCGATGGTGGGCCCTTCCTCGAAGGATGCGAGGGCAGCCCTGGCGAAAGACGGCGTCCGTGCCGTGGACTCTGGCTGTCTAGCCCGTGGGGGCACGTCGGCGGTCCGCGTCCCTTCGGGGACGCACGGACCGGGGCGAATGCAAACCTGGTTCCCGGGCCGGAGCTAAACGTTGACTTTCGTTGTCTTCTGTCTGTTTTCCGTTTTGCTCTGCCTGTTTTCCTGCACCTCCCTGCCAAAACGACAACCAAAACACAACGGACGTTCGGCAAAACATCCCGCATGATCCTGCAGGATCATGTACTTAAACTCGGGTCAGTGCGACCCTGGCCCTGCAAGATCCTGCAAGGTCCAGCGTTCTGACTGACCCCAGTTTGCATCAATCCCCGTCCCTTGAGCCCCGATCCATGGGAACAAAGGCCAGACTGGAGACCACACAGTGGCATCGGTTCGAACCGTAGGTGGCGGGGGTGGTGAGCCGCTCGCCGTGGAACTTGCGGGACTCCCCCTGGACTCGAAGGTGAATCAACGCACTGCGCTCTCTTTCTCTATCTCTCTCTCTCTCTAGCTCTCCATCTCTGTCTCTCCCTCTATCTCTCTCACTCTCCTATTCCCTCCCTGTCTATCCCTCTATTTCGTCTCGCTCTCCCTCTCTCTCTCTCTCTCCGTATGCACGTGTAATCTAATGTTGTTGTTGTTTACTCTCTCGCTCTCTCGCTCTTTGCTTGTTTTTTGCTTTCTCTCTCTCTCTCTCCCTCTCTCTCTCTCTCGCTGAAAGGAGAATCGAACGAGAAGCGGGAGGAGACAGGAGTGAGGAGTATCAGGAGGAGGAGGAGGAGGAGGAGGAAGGAGGAGGATGGAAGAGGAGGAGTGAGGGACGAGGAGGGAGGGAAGGACGAGGAGGGAGGGAGAGAGGAGCCAGGGAGAGAGGAGCGAGGGCTGGAGGGAGGAGCCAGAGACTACGATCGAGAACTAGGCTCGAGGAGAAGCACGAGGAGTATCGAAGCCGCCTGGTCTGCGTCTCTGCTCCTGCTCTGCGCCGCTGGCGACGCCGCCGGCGCGGCGCGGCGGCCGCCACCGCGGCGGTCGTCCTCGTCGACGGACGGCGACGGCGACGACTTCGACGGCGGCAGACAGCGAAGCGCGACCATTTCGGCACACCCCTCACGAGCTTTGTGGCCCCAGAGGGAACTCCACCGAAGGCCCCAGTGGCAGGGTTCGCACGCGTCTCCCCCAAATTACAGCACGCCTCTCACACGCTTCGTGGCCCCATAGGGGACAGGCCCCAGTGGTAGCGTTCGCATGCGTCTCCCCTGCCCATTGCGGCACGCCCATCACACGCCGACCAGACTGGGGGTACAGTCAAAACTGATACTAATAATGCGCGGTAATGATGCGCGACGAGGATGCGCAAGGGCCCTGGGCGCCCGTGTCGGAGCTTTCGAGCAGGGCTGGCCGCCATCCGACAGTGGTCAAGTACGGACCTTGAGAGGCAAGGATGCAAAGATACCCTGGGGAAGGTTGCCCATCCTTCTCATCGGCTTCGACTGTTGCCCCTGAGATCCGAGCGGTGAATTCTGTTCACTCCGAGCGATTTCGCCCGTGTTCGGGCCCCGGGACCATCACTCACAGATCGATCAGACTCGAAATATGCAGCAGACAGATGGGGGCTGGGGCCCTGGTCGCGATTTCCTACAACCTTGCATGTGTGTGTGTGTGTGTGTGTTCGCAACATCGGGTCTCAGAGAAGGTGTCCCTGGCCCGAGGTGTCCTCAGGATGTCTGGGGAGGCCCGGGTGACCTCCAGAAGGCACCGCTCGCAGGGCCCATGGCTCCAAAAAGGGCCCGTTATAGGCCAAGGCCACTTGTAGCAACACCCGAAGACAGAGGAGACGGCGGCGCCGGCGACAACGGACGGACAGCGACCTAGACATCCGACGACATGGTTTTCCAACCTGCGCCCCCCCAGAAAGCCCCGACCCCTTCCCTGGGCGAAGCCTCTCGCCCCGGATCCGTTCTCAATGGTCCCGGGTCCCGGCAAGACTGCCTGGAAGCCGCACTCGGAAACACCCGGAGCTTGAAAACATCACTTCGTCGGAGGTCTGTGGGCCGGCGGCGTCGACTTCGGCGGCGGCGGCCTCGGCGGCGGCCTCCAGGCGGCCCGCGGCGGCTGCTCGCGCCTCGTCGCCCAGCAGCGCAGCGGGCGCCCGCGCGGTGTCGCCCGCGCGGCGGCTGCAGCGGGAGTGCGAGGGCGAGCGGCTGCCTGGGGGGAGCGCGCCCGAGGGGCCGGCGGGGCCCATCAGGTCATCCAACACGGCGCCCTCGCGCGCCGCGATGCGCGAGTGCGCGAAGCGGTATCTTCGCGCCGCCGCGCCGCCCCCCCTCCCAGGCCAACTTGGCGCCCTCGCGCACCGCGGTGCGCGAGGGCATCCAACTTGGCGCCCTCGCGCTCCGCGGTGCGCGAGGGCGCGGGTGTCTTCGCGCCGTCGCGCCGTCGCGCCGCCTCCCAGCAGGAGGGCGGCCGCTCTGGCCCAGATCTGGCCCAAGCTCCATGTGGGGGGGGGGGGGCTACTAGACCTGTGTCTCGCTTCTCCCCCCTCCCTGGACCCGTCCCCAGAGGACTTCGCCCCAACTCAACGTCATCACTCGTATCTCGCTCTCTTCGTCACCCATGTCCCCGCTCCTCACCCCTCCGCTGGACCCCTCTCTACAGGGCTTCGCCCCAACTGGGCGTCATCACTCTGCCCTCGCTCTCTCCACCACCTGCTTGGCATGGGGACGGAAAGCGCGTGTACTGTGTGAGGGCGCGAGGTCGCTGACCGAGTGTCTTCGAGCCCTGCTGGTTTTAAAGGCTTTGACACGACATGCAAACATCTAAAAAGAAGCCTTGCGAAAGTCAATGCATATCGTATTTCTGGGGCTTCCTGAAGGCTCTTTTTGGGCACTGTTGGGCCATCTTAAGACCCTCTTGGGCCGCCCTGGGGCCCTCTTGGGCCATATTGGGCCCTCTCGGGGCCCTCGTGGGGACCTCCTATGGCCCTCGTGGGGCTCTCTTGGGAACCTTTGGGGGCCGTAAGGGGCCTCTCTTGGGATTCTTTGGACTCTCTTGGGCCGTCGTGGAGCCCACTTGGGCCGTCGTGGACTTTCTTGGGGACCTCTTGGGCCGTCTTGGAGCGGTCGTGGGGGCCTCTTGATTGGCCCTGAACGTGCTTCCTGGCTGGGGACGAAGTTCTGGGCAGGCCGCTTCCTTGTCGCCATGGTTGGATTCGAGGATTTGTCGCGACTGGCCGATTTCCTTCCGCCCGAGTCCGAGGCGGGATATCAAATGTCGGCATTCGCTCCCGAGGGGGTCGTGGCGCCTGCCCTGGCGACCCAAGGCCTAGCGAGGGGGGCGCAGGGTCGCTGGCTTCCGTGGGGGCCCGTTGGAAGCCCGTGAGGGCCACTGCACGCCCCATGGTGGCTGATGTTGGCGTTTACTGACGGCGAGAGGGCCCCAGGAGGGCGCTTGCCAGGACGATGCTTCGTCTGTGGGCCGTGGGCTCTTGGCTGGCGTCGCTAGCTTCCCCGCCCTCCCTCCCTGGTGGGTCTGGTGCGTCGGCCGGTGGGGTCTCGAAGTCACGGTAGGGTCTCTCGAGCGCCCCTGGCCGTCCGCACCGAGGGCATTGCCCAATTGTCCACGCGGGAGCACTGGACCACCCCAGGGGGGAGGAAGGCCACCATAATCTTCGGCACTTGGACGCTGTTCTGACCAAAGAAGCGAACATGCTAAACATGTGGTGCCCCTACAAAGAAATTGGAGCGTCTTGAGGGCCTATCTGGTCGTCTTGATGCCGTCTTGGGCCGGCTTTGAACGCTCTTGGGCCGTCTCGGGGTCCTCTTGGGCCTCTCTCAGGCCGTCCTGGAGGTATGTGAGGCATCCCTGGGGGCCTGTTGGTCCGTCTTGGAGGCCTCTTGTGCGTTCTTGGGGACGACTTGGGCCATCTTGGGCCGACAATGGCCGAACTTTGGGCCATTACGTCTGAGCATCGCCCTGCAACCCCCCTCACACTCCCCCCTGTTACTTCTCCCAACTAACGGATCGCGACGCTACGCGCGCTTTCCTTCACCTGGGCCTCGCGGGGCCAACCCCCTCACGCTCCCCCGAAGTACTTCTCACGGCTAACGGATCGCGACGATACGCGCGCTTTCCGTCATCTGGGACGGGTGGTTCTTTTCTATAGAACTACCCCTGGGGCTTCGGCCCAACCCGCCGCCGCCACCCGGAAAACCCGTGAAACAATGTCCCCTTTGTCAAAATCGCCTATAAGACGGTTGCGACGGCTCAAGATGGCCTCCAAGACGGCCTCCAAGATGGCCTCCAAGATGGCTAATATTGCTCCAAGGCATCCAAGATGGCCGCAAGATGCCTCCAAGTCCGCCCAAGAAGCCACCCAAACGGCCCAAGCTGGCCTCAAGCTGGCCCAAGACGCCCCAGGAGACCCCCAAAGTGCCTCCAAGATGACCCAGGAGGCCTGAAAGAGGTCCTCCAGGAAGTCTCGGAGAGGCCAACATCATTGATCATCCTTAGGTGTGTTAGTGGTCTTTGTATAACTTGAACGTTCGTATCTTTTCGGCCTTCCGGAGGCCCAAGACGGCCGAATAGGCACGGAAGGTTAGATGGCCGCATGACGGCCCAAGAGGCTCCCAAGACTGTCCTCCAAAGGCCCGAAGACGGCCCAAGAGGCTTTCAGGATGGTCAAGGTGGCCTTCAAGAAGACCCTGAAGCAACCCAAGAAGGCCCCAAGGCGGCCCAGAGAAGCTCCCAAGACGGCATCCGACGGCGTCAGACGGGACAGGAACGCCGTAAGACGGCCAAAGAGGCGCCCAAGAACCCCCCAAAGGCCCCCAAGGAGGCCCCCAAGAGGCCTGCGAGATGCCCCCAGGAAGCTCCTAGGACGCCCCAAGATTGACCCAGGAAGGGATCTCTTGATACTTCTCCTCATCCTCCACTTCCTCCCTCTCATCCTCCTCTTTCTTCCTCCCCCACGTGTCCCCCGAAGGGCTTCCACAACGGCCAGGGGAGCACATGGTCCACTAGCGTGGCCAAACTTTGCCCGAACGTTTGGCCACATGGGCGCACCTTAAAGGCAGGGGGCAACGGCGAGTCGCTGCAGGCGTCTTCGATAACGACGACGCGAGATCCACAGACGGCAACCACCTATGCACCACCACCCGCCCGAGACGGGGCCGCCCCAGGCCCGGGGTCGGTGCAACAAACCCTGCTGGCCAGGGCCACGGGCCGCATCTGGGCGCGCTGAAGAGGGGGCCATGGCGATCGGGGTTCAGCGCATCATGGCGGCCCGAGGCATGTGCCCGCACGTGGGAGAGGGGCACAATACGCATGGAGAGGAGAAAAGTGGGGGGCATGAAGTCTGGGAGGTCTCGTGGGCCTGGCCACGTTACCCACACACCCCTGGTATTCACCCCCCCTCGACGCCTGTGGCTTTCGGGTCATAACTCAGGCCTCCGGCGGCCGTTCGGGACGATCCGGGCACCGCTGGAAGAGAGCATCCCGGGGCGAGGACGAAACCTCGGCGAGGCACGGCTGGTGGAGACCATCCCGGGGCGAGGAAGAAACCTCCAAGAATCACGTCAACAATCTCACAATCCCAACTCTGATACCCTTCGAGCCTGTCGCCGCTCCTCCCAGGGCCCAGGACGGCCCCCAGCCAGGGATTCCGGTGTGCGGTCCGCGCCTGCGGCACCGACAGCCCCAACCCCCCTTGGAGGCAGTTTTTCTTTACACTACGGCAAGTCTGCTTGCATGGAGGGTGTGTCTTCGGGTGGAGTGACGTGACCCCAAACGACATCTGGACTTCGCGCAAGTTGGGGCTCACCTGCGCGCCTTTCCGCCCCAACACTGCTTGAAAACGCGGTGGGGGGGCGGGGGGACAGGGGGGAGGGCGAGGGGCGACATGCCCTCCAAGTAAGCTTGCCAGGATCTGAATCGATAGAAGATGACAACAACTACATAGACATAAACTATCGGCGGTCCGCGCGGAATTCTTGGATCGGCGAGGGACGCCATGGCGCGCTCCGCGCCAGCGGCAACGCCGCAAGCGCCGCCGGGGTCCGGCACCGGTCCGACAAAATCCGCGCGGAGCTCCGGTTGTTTATGTCGATGGGGTGTATTTTTCCTTCGAACAGAAAGGTGTTCTTTGGCACGCCGTCGGCTGCCGCGCGAGGGCGCCCCTCGCCCGGGCCCGGGTGGGTCGAACTCGTCATCGTCCTCGTAGTACGAGTATTCCTCCATCTCGTGTTCGCCCTCGCGCCGCCGCTCGTCCTCGACGGGGGGGGAGGGGCCCCGGGTCAAGGAAAACATCCTCCTCAACCCCTCCTCATCCTCCTCCTTTTCCTCCCCCCTCCTCCTCTTTTCCTCGTCCTCCTCCTCCTCCTCATCTTCCTCCTCCTCCTCCTCCTCCTTTTCCTCTGCCCCTCATCCTCGCCCCCACCTATGCCCTGGCGTCCTCCCCCTCCCCCTTTCCCTGCTCCCCTCCCCCCTCCCTCCTATCCTTCCCCCTCCTCCCTGTTCCCCCTCCCTCCTATCCTTCCCTGTTCCCCGTCCCCCCTTCCTCCTCCTCGGTTTCCTCTTCCTCCTCCTCCTCCTCCTCCTCCTCCTCCTCCTCCTCCTCCTCCTCCTCCTCCTCCTCCTCGACCCAAGCCAACGAAAACTCATGGTCCGCACCGCAAGCTTTTTACGCCACCGCAAGGCCGAAACCAGAGGTGGGTGGCGCTTCTGATCTACTGAATATGCCGAGAGAGTCCAAGAACTCGAGAGTGGGTTTCGCCCGCGCGGATGAGGTCCGCCGACCTGAACGGGGCCACGAGGAGCCTCCAGACTTTGCCCACCATGAACCTGGCCCTGGGCCTGGCCAGGTTGTAAAAAAACTTTGGAACCCCAGGGCCCCGCGGGCGGCGGCCAATCATAGGCAATTGAAAGTCGAGCAATCGCTTGCGTTCCTCCACACCCACACACGCAACGCACGACGCACCACTCACGCCGACCACCATCCACGATCACTTGGAACGGGGAAATGACATGCTGGCTCGCCCCTTAGTCGGAGGCAGGCCGAACACAAACGAGGTCGGCCCTCGAGAGAACGGATGGCGACGACGTGAGCGGTGGCGGCAGCACCCATGCGCAGGCGCACGATGCGAAGTCGCTGCGCGAGCAAGCTCGATCTTGCCCGTAGCGCGCACAGCACAAACGTCAGCCATGATGACCCCAATGCGTGCGACCCAGGAGGCCCGCTGCTTCAGCACCTGAGCTTCGGCGCGCCAAGCTTCGCGAATGGCCTCAGGCACGCGCGAACGACTGCGCTGCCGCAGGGCCTATTCATCCGCTAAGTCAATGCCAGCTTTGCGGAGACGCGACGCTAGGCTAGCTTGCACATGCGACGTTAGGCTAGCTGTGCGCTCGCACCTGGGCAACGCGCGCGCGCGCGCTCGACCCCCCGCCCAGTCATCGGCGAGCCCCCAGACCTCAATCCGAATCTCTGCCCAGGCCTACCTGGAACAGAACCACAAAATCACGCCCACGGCGGAACAGGCCATCATGCACGAACGCGCTGTCTGCATGGAACAGAGTGTCGGGGCTCGAACGCTGGCGCCTCTGAGCAGCGCGACCAGCTCAGCCGCATCAGCGTCAGCACATCTCATGACAAGCGTGCCAGAGCAGACGGACCTCGCCCGCGTCGCCGATGGATCATCCGAAACGATGGCCCACGCTAGAGCCTGCGAGGCCCATGGGAGGGTTTGGCTCCCCCCCCCCAGGGGGCAGGACCAAGGTTGCCTGTTTATCTGGATGGCACAGCTCCAGGGGCTGCCTCTTCCCTCTCCCGAACACGTTCCAGGAGGGCCTTCATGCGAGGGGTCTGTGGGGGGGCTGTCTAGCCTCGCACTCAAAAGACCTACCTCTTGAGGAGGGGGTAAATTCACTGCGTACTGCATGCGCCCCACTCCTCGCCTCGACGACTGAGTCACTCGCGCGGAGGTTTCGCGCGAGTGAGGATGGAGGCCAGAATGAATTCGCTTCGCTGCAATGCTCGCTCCAGCAATCTTGCGCCGCTGGCAGTCGCGACACAGCAAAAAGCAGCGTCGTGTGGTGCATGCACCACGTGTCGCGCAGAAATACAAGACGGCTTTGCTCGACCTGGCATTCCTGTCAGATCTGGCGACAACAGCGTGGGCCAAAGCGTGGCCCATGCGAAACTGAAAAAGGCCTTCCAAGTTTTGCTCGGCCCTGGGCATCCAAGCAAAGGGCGAGTCTCAGCATCTATGCTGAGCAAGAAACATCTGATACATCTGGCTCTGCCGTCATCCTGATTCTCCCAGCAGTGCCGACCCCCAGACTTGAGAGACCTCGGTTGCTCGAATTGTTCCCGCGGGATCACGCAGATTACTTTGGCCAGCGCACGGGCCGCAACAGCTAACTTGCCCAAGGGAATATTCAGCACCTCCGAAAACTGGGGAGGAGGTGAAGGGTGGAGGGAGAGGGAATGCATGGCGAAGGCGTCTGCGCTCCAATTCCCAACAGCGATAATTCTCTCTCCGTCGGGGAGGGAGTCGATGACGCGTCTCACTCGATGGGCAGGTGTGTGACGCACTTCGGGCGCATGATCCCGTTCATCGTGTCGCAGAGCTCCTCTCCTCATTCCTGCATGCCGATGGCGCCGACCCACTTGATGTGAAGGATCAGCCGCGCATAACTTCACTACCGTCATACAGTCGCTGTATATCACACCAGAGTGCGGAACAAAGAACGGGATCAGCGACATTGCCTGGTGCTCCGCCGTCTGCGGTGTCTGGGGCAGGACGCCCCAGGCGGCTCCTATGGCATAGGCAACAATGTCCTCTTCAGGGCCTAAAAAAATCCAGGCGCACGCGGCCTTGAAAGTTCTCGGATTGTGTGCCGCGCACACGATCCGTCCATGCAAACATCACATCCTCTTAAGTCGATACTCCCCCAAGGCACTTCCTCCTTCTGTGGGTTGAAGAGGCGAGGGGCGGGGTCAGTGCGGGGGGGGGGGGGGGGGAGCTGTTTTCGGTGTGTTCCATCTTCAGCTCATCCCAAACGCTCCTGTCATCACTTTCGGCTGCCTCTTGCAGCCATCCTGCATTACCACCGGCAACTTCTAGGCGCACAGCTACTACTTCAAGGTCCTGACAATGCCGGGCTCTGCGCCTGACCGGGTCAGGTTGTCCGTAAAGTGGGCAACGCCCGTCGCTGGCGTATCCTGATGCTCGTGCTCGCGCACGGATCCATGCGCCTCCACAGAAACAAGTCATGGCCATGTGATTTCCTGCAGGGAGACCTCTCTGGACCTGGGGCCAAGGAACTTTTGGAGCGGATCCACAACAACTCTGGTCCCAGGGAAAGACGGGGAAAGCGCGGCCATTTTACGTTCGTGACCACGTTGGGTGGCTAACATCAGCAAGTGGCCGACCATGGGCGGAGACGTGTAGGCCAAGTGAATTTCTCTGCCATAGTCGTCTGCCCCCGTGAGGGCAGATGTGGCGCACCATCCAACTCTGAATAACGACAGGTGCATGCGTTGAATCGGCCCACGGGAGTTCCTCCAGCTAACCTGGTTATTAAACGGCACCGCGCACCACATCTGACAAATCGGCTCGACGTCATAATGAGACGTGACGGGGTCCGTGACCGCAAGCCACACAATGTGAGCCCAGTGCAGGGCCGGCGCAACACCCGCCCTCCAGACAGGGTCTCCTCCGAAACAAAGTTTAGCAGTGAGCGAGCACCCTCGATTTCGCGGGACACGATGCGATACCATGACACTACGATATTGTTGCAACTCGGGGTCGCTCATGCCAACAACCGCTGGTCCGAACGCGGCAGCAGGCTGGGGGCCCACCACCTATATCTGTCCGATGGGCCCCTTCTGTCTGGGTAAACTTCGACGATATCTCTGCAACACCTTGTGCCTTTTATACATGCACCTAAACCTGGCCTTGCGCTTATGGGGAGCATTGTTGGTCGATCGTCTCTGCCCTGGAAACAGATCCGTTCCAAGGCTAACAGTGCTATTAGTGACGGTGCCCGCCATCTGACCTAACAACCTTCCAAGTTCCTTGGCAATCCCTGAAGAACTGCTGAAGGTGGTGAGTTTGCCACCTTGTAAACCGACTTGAAGCTCATCTCTAACAACAACGAACATGCTAGCACAGGCCTGATCCATTTTCTCGAGAGCCCCGGCCTCCGCGCTGCCCCCAGTCGCAAGGGCATCGTCGTCGACGCACGACGAAATGGTAACCTGCGGGTGGCTGCTGCCAAACCTTTCGAAGGAGCCAATGCTGTAGACCCGCGCAAACAGGTCGTTGAACATGCCCCTCGCTGGGAGGCCACTCAGGGCAAAGTAAGGGTTCGCATTGTACATGCACCCGAGCCTGAGGATACGGCCCCCCCAAAAGGTGTACGTGTTCTTAACAATGACCTTATTGAAGCCGTACTCAATCGCCTTATTCTTAAGCAACTCCAAATCAAAACTTTCGCAATATTTCGCCCCGTCCCAAATAACACCCAAAGTAACCTTACTCTTAGCCTTGGCCACTTCGGCCTGCACCACCTGGCGCCGCGCGGCATCCCCGGCGCTGCGCCCAGGCCTGAAGGCCCAAACACGGCGGGGGAACTTGGAGTTAAACTCGAGCAAGTGGGGTCGTTTCAATCACCCCCAGACTCGGACGGGGCCCGCGCGCGAAAGGATCGGTCTAACTCCCCCTTTGGGCTTCTCGAGGAGGGGGGACAACGTCCAGAGCAACTGTTTATGGAAAAGGCCTGGGGGCTCGACGGCCTGGAAGATGGCTCCGAGCGCGTCGAGGGCAGAGTCAGAGACCAACGACAGCTGGCGAGGGTGCAGACCGCCAAAAGACTGCGACGTCACTCTTCCATCTCCTTTTTGTCGTCACCTTCGATCTTCTCCAAATCGATATGGCGCGTCGAAGAAGGCTCGACCGCCGCTGGCATAGTCTCCACTAGTTTTTGATTTAGCCAAACCAACTACTTTGCCGCTGCTGCCTGCTGTGCCTTGAGACTGTCGAGCTTCTCGTTCGCCTGCTCAATGACAAGCTGCTGTTGCTGAACATCCTGAGCCAACCTGCGCTGAGTGGCCTCGGCCTTGATAATATTGTGGCCGACGGCTGCGCGTTGAGACAGACCTGGCTTGCACTCAGCGAGGGATTGACGTGCTTCCCTGAGCTGCTTATCAAGTTCTGCCTTAGCTTGGAAACCATTAGGACCACACTTCTCGACCATGCGGATGGTGA